ACATTATTTAAAGTTTTTGTATTTTTCTTTTATATATATTAAAATTATTTTTTTAATTTTTTTTTTTTTTTTTTTAGTGAACAAGATAATCAGAAGCTATTAAAAGAAGTTATATCTTTAAGAGATGAAAATGATTTACTAAAAAAAAGAATTAAAAAATTTGCAAATATTGCAACAACATAACGTTCATTTGTGTTATTCATATAAAAATAATTATTATTTATATTTTTTTAAATGATATATGTATTGAAGATTTCTTTAGATGTATTATGGTTATATAAAATTATCAATATTTAATTAAAAGTATAAAAAAACTTTTTTTTTTAAATAGGAAAACAAATAAATTTTCTAGATTTATTATACTATTGTAAAACATTCATATAGTATTATAATTTTAAGTGTATCTATTTATTTAACATTTCCATTTAAACTAGAAAAAAAATATTGAAGTTTATTTAATTAAAACGGATTTGTTTTTATTTCATTTACATTCTGCAATTTTTTTTTTTAAAATATTAAAGATTAAAGGATATCTTCAATTTATTTTTTTTTACAATTTTTCAATTTTTATTATTCGGAGTGAAAAAAGAAAAATATTATAACAAAAGTAATAATAAATAAAAGTGTAAAATTAAAATTCAAAAAAAAAATAAAATACATATATAAAAATGCTATACTTAATTTAAATACTTAGAAATGCGTAATGATATTTTTTGAAAACATTAAATAAAAATTTCTCTTTTTAAGGATACAAAAAAAAAAAAAAAAAATAAAAAAGTCTAGAATCACACAATTATTTTTTTTAATAATTTTTTTTTTATATTTCATTATATATATATATTTGTATCATTTTATAATTCTATTAATTTAATAAGTTAATACTTTTATATTTCATTTTTTACAATAAAAAAAAATTTTTTATAATTTTAAAATTCAATTTTTTGTAGTGTCATTTTTGTATTTTATTTAATAACATCAAGTAATAAATAGAATATGTAATAAATAGAATATGTATATTCTTTTATTTTTAATGTTGGTAAATTTTTTTTTTTTTTAGATTAATAAAATATATTAACATATTTCTATTTTTTTTTTATAATTTAAAAAAAAAAAAAAAAGGAAAAAAATAAGATAAAAATTTATTTATGCTAACTAAAAACATTCTTACTGTCTATTTTGTTTCTTTTATTTAGGTTAATTCTATTTTTTCTTTTAATTAGATATTTTGTATTTATATATTTTAAGTTTATTAAATTTATCAATTTGTTTAAAATTTTTCTTTTTTTTATAATTTCCTTTTATATTAAAATTTACTTATTTACATCCATATTAATTTTACTTTTAAGTATTATAGGTGTATAATAAAATAAATGGATTTTTTTTTTTTTTTTTTTTAATAACTTAATAAAATGTTATTCTTTTTTTTTTTTTAAATAAGGTTCCAAATTTTTAATTTATGAATATTTTATAGTGTGTATTAAAAAAAAAAGAGGAAAAAAAAAAAAAAAAAA